CACTATCTTTGTACACTATTTCTCCCCATGTACTAATATCACTAATATCTTTGTTTTTCTCCCCTTTGTCATCAATGACCACAAAGGTTTAAAATATAGATAGGTTGAGATTATCAATGTCAATCAATGGGATGATGATTATTTTCCCAAATTTGGTCCAATCTAGATCATTTATCAAAGATATTTAACTCGGTTTGATCCAATGACAAGCTTCTTCACACCTCCAAATAAGAGTTATCTGTAACATGTTGAGTTAAACACTTAGAGCTCATTTTCTAGATCAAACACTAGGTTTATAAGCCCACAAACATGTCATATGCTACCACTAGACCAAAAGCAAGCATAAAAGCAATAGTGGTACCATACAATCATCAAATTTATTTGATTTTCATGAATGAGCCGATTAAATATGAAAGATGTCTAAATGCACTAAACATGTCCTTAGCAAGAATGTATGCCATGCCAATCAACTTTTACCTTAGGATTGCTCGAAGGAGAGGCATGTCATATAAGTGGGGGGTGCATCAACACATATTTGAGAAATCCAATATGTTCAACTCATTCCTTAGCTTGCAAAATCTTTTCTCATCCAATGGCTTGGTGAATATATCGGCAAGTTGATCTTCGGTGCCTACACTCTCAATGCAAATGTTCCCTTTTTGTTGATGATCTCTTATAAAATGGTGGCATACATCAATATGCTTTGTTCATGCATGTTGAACCGGATTGTTAGTTAACTTGATTGCACTCTCATTGTCACATAGCAATGGCACTTTCTTGAACTTGATTCCAAAATCACTCAAAGTGAGCCTTCATCCAAAGTATTTGTGCACAACAACTACCGGTGGATATGTATTCGGCTTTGGCTGTTGATAATGCAACACTATTTTGCTTTTTTGATGACCATAAAACAAGTGATCTTCCCAACAATTGACATGTGCCCGATGTGCTCTTCCTTTCAACTTTGCATCCCGCATAATCAAGTCGGAGTAACCAACTAGCTCAAACTTTGCTCCTTTGGGATACCACAAACCAACATTTGGTGTATGCTTCAAGTACCTTAATATTCTCTTTGTAGCCTTCAAATGACTTTTTCTTGGTGAGGCTTAAAATCTTGCACACATACATACACTAAACATGACATCCGACCTTGATGTGGTCACATAGAGTAGACTTCCAATCATAGAGTAGGCTTCCTAAATGCATATGCAATGAGTTAGAGCATCTAGTGACACTTTGATAACCGCATTTCGATACGAGTTTTACCCCTCTTAATAGTACGGCTATCGATCCTAAATATGATCACATTCACTAAGTGTCTCGATCACCAAAACAAAATGGCTCCTACCATTTATACCTTTGCCTTGAGCCTTTGATTTTTCTCTTTCTTCTTTTCAAGTCCAAGCACTTGATCATCACCATGGCATCACCATCATCATGTCATGATCTTCATTTGCTTCACCATTTGGAGTATGCAACCTATCTCATGATCACTTGATAAACTAGGTTAGCACTTAGGGTTTCATCAATTCACCAAAACCAAACTAGAGCTTTCAGCTGATACCTACATCAAAGCTAGATCATGACCCAGACTGATGTTGATGTCTGGTTCATCACCGCCAGATGGTACGTCCAACCGACGTTGTTGTCTATGTCATCACCGCCGGATCGTTCGCAACACCGGTGGTGGTGGTACGACCAAGTGTCATCGGATCGTGCTCTGATGTGGCGATGAAGTAGCCGACAGCACCGTCGTATCATACGCTGATCCGGTGATGATGAACAATACCACCGCCGGCTTGCAACTGGTGGTGATCAGGCAGGCTATCACCAACGAGGGCCAAAACCGTCGTGAAAGGAGGTTTGAAACCGGCAGTGATAAACTTTCTATGAGAGTGATTGAGGGCCTATCTCAATCTTTTTTTGTGTGTCTATGACCTCCTTAATTAGGGTCGATGCTATAACATGTGAAGTCAACTCTTACTGGCTCAGGACCCTACTTACATTACGCATGTGATTATCAGGCTTAATTGTTTTACTTTACTCTTTTATGTGCAACAACTATTTGCAATATTTTAATGAGACATTTGTGCTCCCGTCTTTATACATATTTTTCTTGTGGTATTAATTAATAATATATTTTTGTTTTTTCCTAAAAAACAGAAATTGCTTGTGTGGTCTTAATTATATTGCAGTTTCAAAAAAAGAACTGATATTGCCCTTGGTCTTAATTAAAAATATCCTTTATATCGGAAACAGCATCTTCCTTCATCTTATAAAGAGTACGTTGTAGATTTTAATTATGTTAAATTTTCAAACTTAAAAACATTACTCGTAAAATTTAAGGGGCGAAGTGAGTCTCTCACGTCCCTACGTCCTCAAAGAGTGCAATTCTAGGTATAAATCTGAACAAGTCAAATTTTTTTTTTTGCGAAAAGTTTAGACAAGTCAATTCTCCATATTTATACCTAGAATTGTATTTTTTTATAGAGTGAGTAGAAGTTAAATTTTGGATTCGAAGCAACCTCTCAACAGATTTTACGTCTTTTCCTAGACCTCACTCATGTGGAAGGCTTCGGCACTGGGCCTGTCCTTTTTTTAAGTGAGTTCAAGTTAAATTTTTATATAAATTTCATTAAAATTAAATTTATTGACTTGTAAACAAGAATTATAGTTTTCTTTTTAACAGAGAGGATATTATCTAGATTGGGAGTACTAGGTCTTATTTAGTTGGTGATTTTTTTTAAATAGTAATATAATATTTTCGTTGTTATTTGGCAATTAATGTTCAATCATAGTTTAATTAGACTTAAAAGATTCGTCTCGTGAATTTCGTCTAAACTGTATGATTAGTTTTTTTTTTTATTTATATTTAATACTTCATGCATGCGTCAAAGATTTGATACGATAAAAAATTTTAAAAAATTTTGCAAAATTTTGAAAACTAAACAGTCACCTAGTACCTTTGGCCCTTTGCAAAGTCCCCCGCCTAGCATCCTATCCATCCTATCCTACTGCTAGTAGTAGTAGCCATAGCCACGTACTTGTACGCAGCCATATCCCTAGCCCTAGCCCCAGCCCCTACCCCTGCCGAGCAGTAGGAAAAAGGAGGACCTACCCTGCCGCGCCATTAACCGCCGCAGCAGCAGCCGCCGCCGGCAGCGACCCCGTCGTGTTCGGTGTTCCGTTCCCGACCAGAGATCGCTGGTACCGCCTCTGCGAGTTGCAAAGACGGATCAGGTCGCCTGCGCGGTGCGCGCGCTGCCGCCGATCTAGGCGGCAACTAGGCTGCCGTCCAGTGCCAGCTGACGCGCAAACATGTACTGTGCGCAGCCGGGAGCGCGCCGCGGCGCGGGAGCACCAGAGGTCCAGAGTAGAGCAGTCCAGCCAGCGGCACCGCGCTGCACGCCTGGACTGGACCTGCACCTGCCCTGCAGGCGGCGGCAGCAGAGGCAGAGGCAGAGACAGCGAGCCAGAGCTCCCTGCCTGCCCAAAGGGCAGAGGCCGGGTGGCGATCCATCCCGGGCCGCGCAGAGGAATTTCTCAGAGCCGGTCCCCACGCGGACGATTCGATCTCCCCTCTCGTCTCATAGGCCTGGTTTAGTTGATGAAAGTTTTTGAAAAATGATACTGTGCTCTTGTTTAGTTTCACCTTAACGTCTAAAAATTTGCTACAGTACCTGTCACATCGAATATTTACGGCTCGTGCATGGAGCATTAAATGTAGACGAAAAGAAAAACTAATTGCACAGTTTGATGGGAAATTGCGAGACGAACGTTTTGAGCCTAATTAGTCCATGTTTGAACACTATTTGCCAAATAAAAATGAACGTGCTACAGTAGCCCCAAATTCCTACAACTAATCAGCTTGGTATCGTAATTATTGTCTAAACTGTATAATTAGTTTTATTTTTTATTTATATTTAATACTTCGTACATATGTCTAAAGTCTAAAGATTCGATATGACCGGAAATTAAAATTTTTTATAAAAGTTTGGGAACTAAACAGTCACCTACGCCTTGTTTAGTTGGACCTCAAAGTCCAAAAAGTTGCTACAGTATCTATCACATCGAATGTTTGCGGCCTGTGCATGGAGCATTAAAGGTAGACAAAAATAAAAACTAATTGCACAGTTTGGTGGGAAATTGCGACGAATGTTTTGAGCATAATTAGTCCATGTTTGAACATTATTTACCAAATAAAAACGAACGTGCTGCAGTAGCCCTGTTTGGATCCATGGTTTAGAGCTAGTTTGGGCTAGTTTGAGCTCAACTAGCCCTAAAGTTATCAAACAGGAGGACTAAAGTGGGTTATTTGCAACTAGTCCACCCTAAAAAACTATCCAAATAGAACCAGTAACCCAAAATCTAAATTCACCTGACTAAACAAGGGCCTAATCTATGGAAAAGCAGGAAGAAAAGGACAGAGGAAAGTACTCCAACCGCGCGAAGCGGGAGAGGAGTTGAGACGAAGCACCTAGGCAGTACTTAGTACTGCTCCTAGGCCCTAGCTAGCTAGCTAGCGAGCTAGAGTCTAGGTGTAGCCTCTAGGTCTTTTGAGTGCTCCAGCAACTAGACGGAGATTCTTTTATAGTGGAGGTGATGTGACGGAGGGAGAAAGGGCAGTGCAGTGTACTCCTAGCCTCTATTCAAGTAGCGGTAGAGCACCTTGTGTTCTTGTGCCTGATCCTGTCTCCTCAGCACATCAGCTCGGCGCTCCACGAGACCGCGAGTAAGTAAGCGTGGCGTCGTCGTCGGGGCGGCGCTTCCCGTCGGACACCACGGCGATCGCGGGCTGGCTGCCGTCGCCCGCCGGAGCCGGCGCCGGCCGGGGGGACGACCTCTCGCTGGGTTTCAATGCCGGCGCCGTCTCCGCCTCGTCTGGCGCTGGCGCCTCGCTGGCGGCAGGGTTCTGGGGGGCCGCGGCGTCGCGCCACCAGGCCGCCGCTACCGCCGCGGCGCTCGGCTACGGGGCGATAGGCGCCACCGGTGACGTCGGGATGCTCGTCGTCGCGCCCGCGGGCTCGTTCCACCAGCACCACCAGCGGGTGGCCGCCGACGACCCCGTGCTCCCGCTCATCACCGCGGCGCAGCGCACCCTCGTCGACGCGGACGCCGCCGCCTCCGGCAACGGCAAGCCGCCCGTGTCGTCCGCTGGCGGCGCCATCCAGTTCTGGCACCAGGAGCCGGCCGCGGATGGGTCCCCCGGCAACGGCAAGAAGGCCCTCGCCATGTTGGACCACGGCCGCGGCGGGTCCGGGTCCGGCGCGGCGACGTGCCAGGACTGCGGCAACCAGGCGAAGAAGGGCTGCGCGCACAGCCGCTGCCGCACGTGCTGCAACAGCCGTGGCTTCGACTGTGACACCCATGTCAGGAGCACCTGGGTGCCCGCCGCGCGCCGCAAGGAGCGCCTGCAGCTCGCCGGTACCGCCGGCGCCTCCCCTCCTCCGCCCACACCCGCCGCGACCAAGAAACCCCGCCTCGCGTGCCCGACCCCCACGACGACGACGACGACCAATTCTCGCGCCTCCACCTCCAACGCCACCACGCCTCGCAGCTTCGACACCTCCTCGAGCCACCAAGGTAACCAACGCATGTTGGCACTCTATACGCACAATTGCACGGCGACACAATTCAAGAACGATCACTCAGCCATTGATGATTTCCTCATCCTCCGCAGACGCGTCGTTCAAGGACAGCCTGCCGCGGCAGGTGCGCGGGCCGGCGGTGTTCCGGTGCGTGCGGGTGACGTCCGTGGACGACGGCGCCGCGGGCGGCAGCGGCGAGGTCGCGTACCAGGCGGCGGTGACCATCAACGGGCACCTGTTCAGGGGCCTCCTGTACGACCACGGCGCCGAAGCCGACGGCCGCGCCGCCGCCTCCGCCGCCGTGATGCCCACCGCGTCCGACCTCAACCTCAGCAGCGCTGCCGCGGCCGCAGCGGGCCCCAACCTGTACAGTGGCGCCAGCGCCCCGCTCATCCTCGGCGGCCTGGGCTACGGTAACACACCATGAACCGATCGATCGATGACAAGAAACACACTGCAAGACCGAGCAAGGGTAGTGCCATCGTCTGTCGTTCGCTAGCTTTCTTTGTTTCAGCTCATTGTGACTGCAAGCCGTGGCAGTATAGTAGCTCAGTTTCATGTTACTGACAAATGTTGCCATGTCGTGCCAATGGAGTCCTTGTTACTACCATCAGGCGGAAAGTGCATCTTTGGAAAAACTGGAAGTGGGAGCTCAACACTCACAGTCACAGCGCTGGGGCTGTTGGCCTTTGGAACGAGTGAAATTTCGAAGGATTTTCATGGAACCTCTAGTATTCGACGTACTAATGCACAAATTTCACATGAGTAGCCATTTACTGAAATTTGTGCTACTAGGAACGAGCCAACTTTGATTCCGTAGGAACTAGGAACGGGCCAAAGAATTTCCCATGAACGGGGCTCTAGGAGCAGTTCTTTACTGACTAGTAGTACTAGTACCAGAGTGGTGATACTTGTCTATTGATGGACGGGACCGATAATTGGTGTTTGATTTGCCAGCTGAAAAGTTTGACTCTTTGATCCCATGCTCACCAAATGCCGTGACTTCAATCGTCACTGAGCCTGCTATTATAGGTGCTGTTAGGCATCTTATCTACGCATCGGAACTTGTAGTTAAGACCTAAAAAAGGCTAATGTGCAAAGCATGTGCTGAGCTGAGACCTTTAGCCTTGTTTAGTTCCACCCAATTTTCAAAAAGTTGCTACAGTATCTGTCACATCGAATGTTTGCGGTCCGTGTATGGAGCATTAAATGTAGACGAAAAGAAAAACTAATTGCACAGTTTGGTGGGAAATTGCGAGACGAACGTTTTGAGCCTAATTAGTCCATGTTTGAATACTATTTGCCAAATAAAAACGAAGATGCTACAGTAGCCCTAAAATTCAAATTTGGCGAACTAAACAAGGGATTAAATCCAGGACGCACCTGGAAAGTTTCAGGACGTCACATCAAATGTCATAATGATACTAACAAAAAAAAATAAATTACAAATTCATTAGTAATCCACTAACCGTGAGATAAATTTATTAAACCTAATTAGCCTGTCATGAGTGCATGTGTGTACCGTAGCACCACATTGTTAAATCATAGGCTAATTAGACTTAAAAGATTTATCTGACAAATTAATAGTAAACTGTATAATTAGTTATTTTTTTAATTTGTATTTAATACTTCGTGCATGTATCCAAATCATGTTTGTAATTTATTTTTTTATTAGTATGCAAACACCAAACAACACTTCTATGATATACTCGCTCAAAACTTTATACCTGGTTGTAACGAGGCCTCGTTAGTACACTGATTCCATTTTGAGTCACTCTAGCGGCGAGTGGCGACAAAATTGAGTACAGTACTGTTTGATGATGAATATGACAATCAACATTGCATATGGAAAATCCAAAGTATAAATCGTTAATTGTAAATAAAGATCGTTCTAACTTTGTCCGGTGGTCTTATTTGTTTAGATCGGTGACTTTTCTTTATTGGTCCTGTTCGGTTTGCTGGAACTTGGCTGAATTGGCTGAAAACACTGTTTTGGCTGAATTATTGTGAGAGAAAAATACTATTTCAGCTGAAAAAAAACAAGTTAAATAGTGCAGATTATAAGGTAAGCCAACGAGGCCATTATTTTACCGATTTGCAGAGGCTCGTAAAGTCGTAAGCCCTGCCTCTGCTGATTGAACTTCACACCCTGATGTTATGCCCACCTTTGTAATTTGTGATTTTCAATGACCATGTAGTTGAGGCGGGCCTGTGGAAATGCATTTGGACCATATATATGTATGTGAAAATGCATTTGTAGTAGTGTTAAATGAATTGTTAAAGTTTTCCATCTCGGTATAGTTTCTACATTGATGAAAAGAGAGTGTACTGGGCATGCAACGTTATCTGCACATTTTACATGAGAGCGAGGCAATATAGGCATTTAAACGAGTGCATATAGTAAAGGCGGTGTGGACGCAAAGGACTGTGTATTGGACGCAGAAACTTGTCACGGACATTTGGGACCTCCTGTTTTTGGTTGGAACAGTAATTTGTCTTGTCTGTTTCTCACCTACTCGTGTCGTGTCCAATGATTGATCCCGCATCACGAACGCAAATATTTGTATCACATGCATTGCATTGCATGATGGTGGTTTGGACTTTGGAGGAGTCAGTAGCTAGTGCAGTGTGATCTATGGAAAATTTTCGGCTGCGGGCCAAACGCCATCTTGTCAATTGTCACCGTCAGGCTCACACCTGGTGTTAAGCATTATTGAATGCGTGTTGATGGGCTAACCATTTGTTTGTTTGTTTGGTCCATGCGGCGGTGCTCCGCGCTGCCTACCTTCGGGGAGCACGGTCACTGTTCAGGGCGATTCTTTTTTCGATTATTTGATGCAGTGGATTAACAGCCAGTGCGTACGTTGATGCATTCACTAATTAATTATTGAATAGCCTTTGTTTAACTTCCGCTTTAATATTACGGTTTCCCCTAAAAAGCGCTTTTTATAGTGATATGTCGTTTTCACTAATACTTTTTGTTACAAAATACTTAGAAAGTGTAAAAATAAAAACTATACTTTCATAAAACAAAATCTACTTCTATCTATTTTCAAGTGTCTGATCACACTACAAAACAATTTGTAAGTATAGTCTGTAATGGTTGACTTGACAACCATAAACCGCTATTTATTTGTGAATAGTCTAGGTTTCTATTAAAGACTATATATATGCAGTTAATTTAAGTTAGCAAAAAAAAAAAAAAATCATGAGCCTAAATGGACATCTAAAACTAACGATCAGACATAGATACAGACAAGAAAACGAGATCTAAACTAGAAAGAACTAGACAATTTTTCATTAAAAAGAGAAAATAGGTACCCAAATTCAAGGTAAGAGAGGACTTCTAGGTGGTTAGGTGCACCACCACACCTCTCACCTCAACCAATTGAGCTAGGTTCACTTCCTATCAGATGTAGATATAACAACAAATAGTATATTAAAAGAACTTTATTATTTGACTAGTTTTATAGTCATAGATTATACATTTTAGAGTCATAGATTATACATTGCTTCATGTTTCCTAAATTCTCCGTTAAACAAAGCATGTAATCATACGATGTATTGTGTTCTGGTTACCAAATTATGAAATTCACTTCAAGATTTGTTTTGGTCTGAAACTTGTTTATTCTTTGCATTGCAGTATCACTTTTCGAGAAAGGGCAAACATGACAACCTTTGTGGATGGGTAGGGGTTTGAGCATTAACTTCAGTTTCTTTTTTTTTTCTTAGAGAAAAATCAAATACGATATTGCCTGAGATTTTGGAAAAACTATACATTCGGTCGGAGGCACCTCAGTATCGATCGGGAGTGATAATTCTTAGCAGAAACACCGGACCTTGCACAAGCACAACACCTTACGAAGGAGCGAAGAGATGTTTACAGGTACAGTATGAATTTCTGATTTCTGATAACCTCTTCGTTCATCAGTGTAGAGTGTATTTTCGAAAGGAGTAGTCTTCAAACATAAGTTTTGACAATTGATTCTCTAGAATCAACATCATTTCAACAATAGTTCGAATACCAATGAATTGGATGTAACTTCTTCGCACTAAACACGTATATAATTTGATTACTTATTGGTCCAAGTTAAATTTGTAAAGTTAAACTTTTCTTAAAACAAAGTTCACTTTGTTGGATGGATGGAGCGTTTGGTTGAGCATTGTAGCTGTATTAGGTCAGACCTCTTGCACTCTTAGGGCCTCTTTGGTACATCAGCTTCACTAGTGAGCAGTCTTTTTAGCTTCGATTCTATATAGCAGCTTTACCAGTGAAACTAAAACCTTTTAAAAAAAAGTTTGGTAGAACAGCTTCTCAGAAAAGATAGCAGAGAGAAAGCTGGGAGAAGCTAGTATTTTCAGCTTCACCCAGCTTCAACTTTCGAAACTGTGCCTATGAGAGAAGACGTTAAACAACTTCTAGGGAGAAATTGTTTTATCAGGGCTTGTTTAGTAGAAGCTGAAAAACAACTTTGTGAAGCTAGGGCAAAAAACTTACCAAATAGGCCCTGAGAGCATCTCCAGTAGTTCCCCAATAAGGTCCTCATCCCTATTAAATTGTCATATTGAGGAGATGGACCAATTTCTTTGCTCCAGCAGCTCCCCAACATGCCCCCTTTTTTGGTGGTCACAAAAAAATCCCTCGTTTGCCCTCAAATTAAGGGGGAGGTGCATCTCCCCCAATAAGATGGGTCCCACAATAACTATCATTTCTTCCTCCTTGTACTGTTGCTGTGCTGCACAGTAGGAGCCATGGCCGCTGTCACCCACCACCACCATGGCTGGAGTTGCATAGTAGAGCCATGGCGGAGGCCGGATCTGCACAATAGAGCCATGGCGGGGGCCGGATCTGCACAATAGAGCCATGGCAGAGGCCAGAGCTGCACAGTAGGAGCCATGGCCGGGGCGTAGCTAGGCACGACGCAGGCTAGCGATGGGCGCGACACTAGCCGGTGCCGAGGATGGAGCTGCTGCACGGCGCTGGCCGACGCTGAGGACGGAGCTCGGAGCGGCGCTGGCCAGCAATGGGCGTGGCGGTGGTCGAGGTTGGGGACGGGCGTGGCGATGAGCGGGGCTGGGCAGTCAGTGCCCGGGGCCGGGACGGGGCTGGCCGTGAGTGCATCTACGTCACAGTAGGAAGAAGACGACGTGAAGGGGAAAGGAAAAGAAAAAAAATTGTAATATGACATGTGGGTCCCATATATTAGGGAAGATTATTGGTGATCCACTAGTGGATCTTCCCTAATAATCTAAAAAGACAGTATTGGTGACCACCAATATCATTCTATTGGGTATGAAATATTGATGGGCTGCTGGAGATGCTCTTAGGGTCCCTTTGGCACTGCTCCAGCTTCGGCTTCTCGTGACTCTAGCCAGTAGCCACAATCTTTGGAGCTGTGTCAAATGACCATCTAAAAAATGACTCCT